ACGTAACGTAACGTAAAAGTAAAGTAAATAACTATACACGAATAAGACAGACTAACTAACTAACTAACTACTAACTAACTAGTACTATAGTATATATACTCTCTCTCTCTCTCTCTCTCTCTCTCTCTCTCTCTCTCTCTCTCTCTCTCTCTCTCTCTCCAAGAAATCAACAGCTTACTCATAGAGATGAAGATCACTTTAGCAAATATTGGCATGCTTGCAAAGAAATCAGGGGAAGGTGGGTGTGGAAGTGGATCCATGCTTTTGGCTAGAGAGATGAAGACAGCAATCAAACACAAATACTAATATTGGAAGCTGATGAGGGCTGTCTTTTGGTCTCTAGGGATCCCCTTCTTTAACTTTGAAAGGGCTACAAATTGCAACTAGTTTCCATACTTATTTGCAGAACTGCTCATTATACAACCTTTAAATCTTGACATCAATGAGAAAGAAACAATGCCCAGATTTAAACTTTGTAAAGACATTAAGAAAGTCTTCGTCCATCCTTATAGCGGGTGATTGAATCCCCATATAAGATATTGTCATTAATATGTGAGGGACCTTGCCACTGGAGAAAGGGTGGTGGTCTTTCCCAGTTGGTCCCAAGTCTAAAGTCATGGGGTCCCTCTCCGTGTAGAGTCTCTGTCACACACAGAAAACGTCATATGCACCTTTAATGTGCATTGTTTGGGTCCTCGTACATTTGAAAAATGTTGGCTATAGAATCCTTTGAAGATTTAGTTGCAAGATTACAGAGATCATCCCATACTACATAACCATAGCTAAAACTGGTATGTTGAAACTCGGCGATTCCTGATCTTCATCGGCAATTTGGATAGGGAGGGAATTGGGCAAGACCAAACTGGTTTCAAATTGCTATCTGCCCCAGCCTCCCCCCCTTTTATTTTTTCAATTTTTTTTTATAACATCTATTGGGTCCCTCTTAAAACCCATGCCATGAACCCCCATTCTAATTTTAGTTTTATTTTAATTTTAATATTTTTTTTGGATCGCCAATTTGAACGGATGATGATCGCCAATAGAGCAATCCAACACGGTTTGTTGGGTAAAGGATCCACCCCACAGATCGGGGTTCTGAAATACTAGCTAAAACTCATAAGACTATATCGAATATGGTCATTGAAACTTATTTCATTTCTAAGAGTGAACCAATCACTATCTAACCACAACAAAAGTAGCATCGATATTTGATTAGCCACACCTGTAACTAAGAGAACTTAGTTAAGGAATTGTTTATAAAGAGACCATTTATCTTTGTACATAGAGATCACAATCATTTTTACTCATTAGATGTCACATTGAATGGCTTGGGATGAGTCACAAAATCCCAAAATATTTTTTTTTTTTGAACTTTGTGTCTATTCATTGACACTCTTACAACCACCCATTTTGAATTTAAAGGGACAAGAATAATAGTGACCTCCATATACCAAAGATAAATGGTTTCTTTGTGGAAAACCCCCTTAGTTAATGCCCAAAATTGGGAGAACTTAGTTAACCAAAGAAAAATTCACACATTCTAAGAGTCAAAGAAATTTCTTGAATTCAATGCCAATCAATCATCAATAGGAGAGCTCAATGATCTTCCGGAACTGGTTCATATTGAGCTTATATTTGGCCAATAAACACAATTTACTCGTGACAAGACTTCATTTGGATCCAATGTACTCTTATTTTCAACCAATGGCCCACTCATTTAATGCTGGTGGAAGCTTATGGTGGTACACTCCTCAATTGTCCTCACAAGAGGAACTTGGGACCAAAGTTCCTGATAGAATGCAAAACGTCCAATTATAGTGGTGTTTTACATTACCTTGCTAATGTGAAAGGGCGAAAAGGGAGGTACACAATGGTGGAGGATTGACCACTAAAACAATGCCATGGATTTGGTGGAAGTAATTGATATTGAGCCTTTCCCATATGCACACTATTGGTATATGGATTCACGGTATGTGCTTATGTAATATTTTTAAGGAAAAAATTTATATAGGACGGAGGCTCTAAACAAACAAATTAGAGCACACATCAAAAATTTCACCAAAAGAGGTTGCTTTGATGCCCAAATATCCTCAAATTGATCATCTCGACATCAAGATGCATTAACATGAGATAAACATGGATTTCAAGTTTTGGAAATAGTGCATCTTGTAACGTATTTTTGGACCGTCAATTTTTAAGATTTTTAAGTTTTTATAGGTCTGCTCAATCTACACTATTTTTTAACCTTTAAATTTTATAATTAAATATAAAAATATATTTTAAGACCGTCACAAAGATTTCCTCGAAGGTGTGCTTTACTTTGATTGCTTAGAGCCTCGACTCTACCAATTTTTAAACATTAATATTTGCATTTAGTTTTGTTGTGTGAGGAAGCTCAAAAAACCGATGGGTTTATTTTTTGACAAATAAAGAGCGATACAAAATACAATTGGCAACAAGAAAAATAAAGCATAAAATAAACCTCAAACGGCTACATCCATAGGGAAAGACAAACTTAAATCTATTATACCAATAAAATTTATATCACATATTTTTTAATACAAAAGGTCCCTAGTTGAACAATCTTTAAAAATTGAAACCACTCTCTCTCTCGGGCATCACATGTCGTTCTTTATTCTCTTTACTTCTAACAACTACTATAGAGTTACAAGACAAATGATAAACCCTCTTTCTCTCTACGAAAGGATACTACCCAACATCCCCTCGGTAACCACTTCTCTCTCTCTATACGAAGCATGGATAAACAGTTGCTCTCCATAGAAGCTCACTCATCTCTCTTGAGGCTCCTTCCTCTTTTTGCAAGGGGCCCTTGCCTCCCTCTAGAGGAAAGTCAACCTTTTCTCTAAGGTGACCCCAAATAGGGAATTCATATTATTATTTTTCTCATTCTATATATACAAGGTTATGAATCCTAGAAGAAATATAAATTCTTATCCCATTAGACAATGTCATTTATTTTTATTTCATCAATGCGAAGAATTCTTTGGATCTTTTCCAGCTGCTTGTGCACCCTTGGACTTTGAAGTTCTAGATTTGTGCCTGTCAATATTTAAAAAGTCGCCAGTTTGACTCGGAACCAGCGCCTCACATACTTAAAACTAAGTCCAAAGAAGTGCAGATATTGGGACTCAAACCACTCATACAAACTCAATGATCAATGGATCTTCTTTTGGCTACGCTCTGATTCTTTTATTTCTATTTGCTACTTCCTTTCCCTTGTGCAATGTATGTTTATCCTATCCCATAGACATACTCAAATTGGATCAGTAATCAATTTCTAGGTTTGTCGTAAACCTAATTGGTTACTTCCAATTAGATAAATCAACGGTTCAAACCGCATTCAAAGGTAGGCCATTTCTCATTGATATAGGAACTTCTGTATAAAAAACAATGGTATCTTCAAATCGATTTAAAATCCGAGTATAAGCCAATTGAAAGACTCGAAAAGAAATATGAAAATCCTTCTCTCATGAGATAATCAATGGTTATGAAGAAGTACAATGATCTGAAAAATGGTTGAAAGTACAAAGTTATCGAAACATGTGCATACTTTTAGAGCATTTATTTGAAAGATGGAGGCAATTGAGATGGGCCTTTAGAAACTATGCAAGTGGTTCACCTGTTAAATACCTTCTCCGCTTAAGTCTAACAACGGTAAGGGTAAAATGAAAAAACAAAATGAGAAGAGGAAAAAAAAAAAAGAGAAAAAATACGTTCAAGGGAAAAGAGAAACTAGAACTTGTTACATATGCAAGAGGGTGGGCTACATATCCAAGGACTATAAGTTCAATAAGAATCTGGAAGCTAATAAGGAACTTGGTGTCTTCAAGACTATGCTAGCCGACCCCAAGGGCATGACTTGGTGTCTTGATTTGGGAGCCACGGCTCACGTGTCAAATACCATTGATGACTTCTGCACTTTTACACTCATGGGGCCAAGCAAGCAACGCATCTACATGGGAGGCAATAAAAAAATGAATGTTTTGGGCATTGGTGATTATGCTCTTGACATAAAGGATGGAAAGGTCTTGGTCCTAAAACAATCACTCTATGCTGCTGACGTGATGAAGTTTTTGGTTTAGGTCCTAAGAATGGCTAAAGCTGGGTTTATCACCATCTTCTCTAGAAAATCATGATGAGATTGTCATAACCGGCCCCCTAGTAGATGGTCACTATTCGATTGAAATAAAGAGGAAATTGATTACGTCTCATCTTCAAATGATTTAGATGCTTCCGTATGGCATATGCGACTAGGGCACATAGGTTTTAAGAAAATGAAAAAATTAAGAAAAGATGAAATCCTACAAAATTATGAAGGCGACTTATCAAAAGTGTATATCATGTGTGCAACGAAAATTAACAAGGAAAAATTCTATCGGGGCACTAAAAGCTTCTAGTGTATGAGAAATCATTAATAGCAATATTTGTAGTCCTATGAATGTGGCCATCAAAAGCCATAAAAGATATTTCATCACTTTTATTGATGACCACTCGTGATATGGTCATATATACTTGATGTGTACAAAATCTGAAGCCTTAGAAAAGTTTAAAAAATGCAAAGCTGGGATAGAGAACCAACCAAATCTGAAATCAAAATCTTAAAATCCGATAAGGGTGGTGAGTACTCCTTCGAATTCTTTAGGGACATGTGTGTGGAGCATGGCATTATTCACCAATACACCATACCCTACACACCAAAACAAAATGAAGTTGTCGAGAGACAGAATGGGACCTTGATAGAAATATTTTTAAAATTTATATTCAATTTTTAAAAAGAACATGAAATCAAAGAACCCCATAAATAATATTAAATTGTGCATTAATCTGATATTAGCCTTTATGATATAATGGCCAAAACAATCAATTCATATGATATACCTTTCCAATTAATTAATGATAAAATTAATTTTTTATTTCAAATTTTTTATATTGGAATTAGGAAAATCTTAAATATTAATATTTAATATTAATAACCTATATGATATACCTTTCAAATGAATTAATGATAAAATTAATTCTTTATTTCAAATTTTTTATATTGGAATTAGGAAAATCTTTAATTTTAAATATTTAATATTAATAATCTAAATTAATATTTATTGAAAATAGATTTAAATTATTGGAATTTAAATCAAGATATCTTAATCTATTTTAGGTTGATAATAAAAAATCATGTTATAACATATTTCATAATTTCTAAATTTCCAAATCAAAAAATTATGATATCTTTATTTCCATATGTTCAAATTTTTACATTAGTAAAATGTGATGCAAATAGGAATCTCCCTAACATATAGTTTAACTTTAAGTGTATAGGTGGACGTTCCAAAATATGAATTACTAGATTTAATCAACTAAAAAAATAAGTTTGAAGAAAACCCAAGACTCCAAGTGAACAACCAGAGGACAACATATTCGGGGCCAAATTCGCCCTTGTATTCGATATATTAAAAACGCAGGTTTTTCATATATCATATACTGGGAATGAACAAGTTCCAGAGGTTTAAACATCTGTTCCCATTTAC